TAATATATGTAATTTGAGGGTAAATATATTTGTCAATTATTACTTTTAATCAGGGTCTTTTCTCTATCAAGGAAGTACAAGCTGACACAAGCTGGAAAGGAAAGAAACACTTTGTAGGAAACTATCAAAAAGCCGTGTTCACAGAAATAAGACCCTCAACTGATGTAAAATGACACATAGATGTGAAGTGATAACACATATAATCAACGAGGTTTTCTGAATACATATATGCAAATACACACTGGCGAGAAAAATCATAAATGTAAAGTGTGTGATAAAGCATTTTCTCTACGAAGAAATTTGAACATGCATATGGCAATACAACCTGGTGAAAAATATCATAAATATAATATGTGTGATAAAGCATTTTCTCAACGAAGGAATTTGAAAAAGCACATGCCCATACATACTGGCGAGAAGAATCATAAATGTACAGTGTGTGATCAATCATTTTCTCTTCGAAGTCATTTGATCACGCATATGACAATACACACTGGCGAGAAGAATCATAAGTGCACAGTGTGTGAGAAATCATTTTCTCTACGAAGTCATTTGATCCAGCATATGGCAATACACACTGGCGAGAAGAATCATAAGTGTAAAGTGTGTGATAAAGCATTTTCTCAACGGGGCAATTTGAACAAGCACATGACAATGCACACTGGGGAGAAGAATCATAAATGTAAAGTTTGTGATAGGGCATTTTCTCATCAAAGTAATTTGATCAAGCATATGACAATACATACTGGCGAGAAGGATCATAGATGTGAAGTGTGTGATAAAGCATTTTCTCAACGAAATAGTTTGAACCAGCATATGACAATTGCAATACACACTGGCGAGAAGAGTCATAAATGTCAAATGTGTCAGAAATCATTTTCTCTACGAAGTTATTTGATCAAGCATATGACAATACATACTGGCGAGAAGGATCATAAATGTGAAGTGTGTGATAAAGCATTTTCTCAACGAAGTAGTTTGAACCAGCATATGACAATACACACTGGTGAGAAGAAACATAAATGTAAAGTTTGTGATAAAGCATTTTCTCAACGAGGAACACTGAAGACACATATGAACATACACACTAGCGAGGAAAAATAAAATAAAGGACATCTGTGATAATGTATTTTCTCATTACAGTTATCTTATCTCACATATATGACAAAACGTGCTGGCGAGAAGAAACAATATTGTGAAATGTGTTATATAGTGTTTACTACTCGAGGTAGTTTCATCACACATGCATGCATGGCAAAAATGCTGGTAAAAAAAAATAATTGCTATGGTCTTTAAACTTCATACATACTAGCGAGGTAAAAATAAATAAAGGACATCTGTGATAATGTATTTTCTTATTTTGTTATCTTTTCTCACATATACGGCAAAACATGCTGGCGAGAGTAACACAATTGTGAAATGTGTGATATAGCGTTTTGTACTTGAGGTAGTTTCATCACACATACATGTAAAGCAAAATGCTGGTAAAAGAGAACATTATTGTGGTTTGTGCAATTCAGCGTTTCTCATTGAGGTTCTTTGAACAAACAAAATAATGATATTACAGATTTATAGTGATCAAAACATGAATATGAATTGAGTGACAATTTATTTTTTGAAGAAGTAGCTTAATTACACATTATGTTAATACACACTATAGAGATGAAATATGGATGCTAATTTGCGATATTTATATAAAAAATGACCTTCAAATGTACATTATTCGTAAGTCATCATTCATACTGATGTGACCACTTACATAATTTTGTGAAATATTAGATAAACTATCAGTCGACAAAAATACTCAAAATACAAATGTCAATTTATACTCGCGGGAAGGAACATAGATTCGATGTTTGAAGAAATCGTGGCATTGAATGATGTTATATTATCAGACATATGATAATATTCACTGGCAATAACAATGAAGTCGAATTCTCGAAAATTTGACCCTCAGACACATATGACAACTCACGATTTTGCGATTTTTTTATAAAAAATTTGTATTTGAAAAGTTGACATACATACTATACGACAATTGAGATTGGTGAGGAAATGTAATGCTATGTATAATGATGTACTGAGTTCAAGACAAAATCATTTTCTGCACTGTAACTTTATCACAATCTTTTATAATTAAAGGGATAGAAATAATTAACACAACGTTCTACAGCCGCTACATGAAGCAGATAATACTTTACATACAAAAGGCTAAATGCTAATATAAACATTTGACAATTCACAATGGTCAGATTAAATTCAGTATTGTGATATATGTCATAAATCATTTTTAGACAAGTATGCTTTAAAACAACATATGATAATTCAGACTGGTGCGAAGAGATATAGATGTGAAACTTGCCATCAGGTGTTTTCACATAGTATTCAACTTCGAAGACATTTAACAATTCACAATGGTGAGAATAAATTCAGTTGTGAAATATGTAATAAACCATTTGTTGACAACTTTGTTCTAAAGGTACATAAGACAATTCACACTGGAGAGAAGAAATAAAAATGTGAGTTATGCAATGAAGCATTTCTCATATATGCTTTCTTACTTTACATCTTGCAACACATACTGAAGAGAAAAGTTATGGATGTAGAGACATCGAATATGGAATAAGGAAACGTATTTCAACAACTATTCACATGACATCTGAGAATAAATTCAAGAAATACCGAGAAATCAATTACAATGCAGTAAATAATTTAGTCACTGAAATCAAGACAACCACTATGATGAACCACATTTTGTTACAATAGTGTATAAAACAAGAAGTGAATAAAGGGAAAACAGGCCCCACGAAGGTGGACTGGTTCACATCACCTCGCATCAATGTTGAACGGCTGATGTAATTTGAAGTGTCATACTTATCTCGTTTAGGTTCTTTTCCTCCATATATCCAAGTGGCAACTTGTATAAATTATAATATATTATATACATAATAAAAGAGATGGTTTTAAACCATATGACGACTAAAATAATAATAAAAAACCCACAGTTATTGTATTCATTTGTGTAAAAGTAAATAGATTTAACAAAATGATTTTCTGATCTCTATGGTCATTTCGGGATGGTTAGTTAAGAAAATTGGATCCTAATTCTTAAGTCAGGTTTTCCGACGCATTCCACATAAAAGATGTTTTTATGAAATAATATATCGCTCAATAAAATCACTGTTTGAAGTTCGGATGTAAGGAATTATATCACGAGGGCGTAGCATGAGTGGTATTATGATGCGCGTCCGAACGACAAACAGCGATTTTATCAAGGGATAAAAAAACACCGATTTACATATTTTATTTTGATTCTAACACAACATTAGTTAACAAATGAATGCCGTTACTGATATTAAGCTAAATTGCGACTGATTTGTTTCCATGCATACATATTTTCAGCGCGTCGCATTATTTCATCAAGCGATAAAATCACGGATTTGGATATTCTTTTTTTTATATTATTTTTATTCTAACAAGACATTAAGGCTATTGCGACTAATTTGTTTCCGAATTTATTTTCAGCGCGTCGCATTTTTAGTGGTTACGTCACATGTATAATGTTTACGTCAAATGTCTTAATATAATGTCAAATGTGATTTAATTGCATAATAACATACACTTCCGGTCCTTATATTCCATGAGTTGAAATTTTGGTCGTGTTAGAATGTATAAAAGTCATATTTTAGAACGACGGTTACATATATCTAATATAAAGTTATTGTATTTTTAAAAGCAATGACATAGAGGATATTTGAGAGCCCCATTTAGTCGGAATTTCTCATTAAAAACAAGAAGTCTTGAGCTGAAAAATAAGTCCGCCAATCAACGTTAAATGACGGTGATATTTATTCATTTTATTGAAAAAAAAATATGAATGATCGCTTGTTTTAATAATAAAAACAAACAATTCTTTTAGGAGAAAAAGTCCAACCATCCATCCATATTTCTGTTATTTACTGCGAATTTATATTAGACCTGGCTTTGTAAAATGTAAGCGGCAGCCATTTTTTAAAGTTGTGTATTTCATGGGAGGAAAATAATTGTGTAAGATTCAGAGGGATATAATTTAGATTTGTTAGTCATACACCTTTTTAAAAGAAAGAAAACTTATTTGAGGATTGTAACAGACAAAAAATAAGTGTTGACAGATGTGAAAACATTCAAAAAAAGAGCTAGGAATATGGAAAACTTGCTCACGAACGCTGGGTTGTTTTACTTATTTTTCGAGTGATGGCTGTCATTGCTTTTCAATTTTTCATAAAGCATACGGCAGTTATTGCTCGTAGGATACTTTAATATGCCCAAATGTCATCAAGAGCAGTTTTGCATGGGGAAGAAATGTATTTTTTTCAGACTGTAAAAAGAAACAAAAAATTTAGAGACGAAATTTGGTGATTGGAATTTGAATGAATAGAAGTAAGTTTTCATCTTTTTATTACTTTTGACATAAGTTATTTATCAATTTCAGTTTTGCTTTTTCTTTACACAGCCTGACATTGTCAGAATTGTCAGCAAAAATAAAAATGAGGTATCACATGGGGAAAATCTTAAAAAAGTAGTTTCGTCATTGAAAAGTGTGAAATTATATTTTGATAATTTTCACTGTGAAATTATCAAATATAATTTTCACGGATAAATCAGTAATCCACTGAAAAGCATAAAATAAATTTACTTAATTAAATATGAGTTTACATATCAAATGATAGATATAGTATACTGATGATGCAGAATGACCAAATATAAATTATTTTGTATATTCTATTCTAAGAAAGATAAACGGTAATTTTAAGAGATAATTAGGAAACGGCTGTTAATAAATGCTGACATGAAAACTCATGATAATGATCATATTACCTTTTGATTTCTCGCCAATATACCCTGTTGCAATTACAATAAGTATTAAGTTACATAAAAAATGTAACTTTAATGATTGCATTAAGATTGAACTTTATTTAATACACGATCTTTTAAAATGTTTTTATACGCGCGTTAGGGCTTCGATTTACAGTAAGCGATAGATGGTTTATACACACTTTTAATTAATATTCTGTTTATATACATTGTAATTGTACGGTTTGATTTTACTCGAAATGTAATGGTCTTGAATATGATTTTCATTGATATAATATGTCTCTTGAAATTCTTAAATAGAATGGTCGTATGCCTGTTTTATGTAAATTTTTGTATAAAAGTATTATATAACAATTTATGTGTACGAATGTGACTAAAATTAAGTATGAATAAATAGATATTCTAAGATAAATATCTTTAGCTAATTAAATATCAATATCCTGGTAATTATCTGAGTTGATTTTAATCTTTCAACCATAGATATTAACACAATGTCAACTTTTTTACAGTATACTTCCTGGTGTCAATACAATGCCGTAATTATTGACTTAATTGAACCGGGGGCAATATCAGACCTCCTAATTAACATTTTCATTCTTATAATAGAAGACCGTGATTTAAGGAAACTGGACAAAAGAACAAACTAATGTTTTCTACACATCATTATCATTTCAAAAGTATTGACACTGCTTTCGTATTTACATGCCGTGAAATACTTTATATGGGTATACCAACTACGTCATAAATTTATTTCAGGTATACGTTATAAGACAGAGTCGACACTGTAAGAATTGTAAAGGTAATATTTGTTAAAACTTTTATTTTAGATTTTCGCTAACATTGGTCGGATAATTGAAGACTAGATTTAGATTAATTCACTCGAACATCAATGAACACAAGTTCAAGATTAATGATTTTTTTCCAATTACAGAACAGAGCTTTAATTGAAATAAAGTTACATTAACACTTGCATATACAACAAAGCAGTTATATATTTTATTGGCCGGGTTGCACAGGTGCAAACATTGTACAGGTATATTGTATATGCTTGAAAAACATTTTGTACTCGTTTTCTCAGCAATAACTTATCACAGCCTCTTAATATTTGGCATACAACATCCGTACCGTGGGAATCAATTTCAGGTTTGCCGCTCATTCACTTCCTATTTACCGACTTTGTTAAATTTTCCACAATCAATAATTAGTGGTAGGAAATTTTCATTACTGTTTTCTCAGCAACTAATTATAACAGCCTCTTAATATATATTTGGCATACAGCATTGACACGTGGTCCCATACATTGGGATTCGTTTTCAGTCGCTCATCCACTTTCTGTTTACCGACTTAGTTAAATTTTCGACATTAATGGTCAATGGTAAAATGTTTTCGTAACATCACAGCCTCATGATATTTGGTATACAAATCCAACGCGGCCTTTTCTGTCTTTGACCCATTTTTTATAATTTAAAACAAAATCATTATATAATATCATTTTAAGTAAGATAATTTACTTTAACCTTGATTCAGAACATTGTTATGTTTTGTTATGTACTAGAGGAGGAGGTTCATGCTTTTATTACTTAAATACTACGTTACCGTAGTTGACGTAATTACTGCGAGATCCCGTTAGAAATGATTTGATTTGCAAAATTAATGTTTAATCAATATACGAGTACAAGAAAGCATTTATTCTGAATGACTGTTTGAAGTTTCATTTCATTTCAAATTTCTGTGTTTATCAAAAGCAGAAGGACGATTTGATAGAGATGAATAAGTAAACAAAATCAGACAACAAAACGTAAAATATTTGATATATTCGCCGTCATCAATTTGGTCAGGTAACTGAATTAAAACGCGGATAAAGTGTAGTAATAGG